ATGTCTGTCAGTTTTAGCAATACGGGATATTAGTGCGGTTCAATTAGAAAGCTGTGCTCTTTACAGTTAGAGCTCAGTTATTTGATTGAGCCGTGCCAATATCACGTATGTATACTACTACTGATGCTCACAGTTCCCTATCACTCTATTCCTCTCCATTCAGTCCAGAACAAGGTATGCTATTAATTTACTGATTGTTTTACTTGTAAGCTAGCTTCTCTCTAATCTTAGCAAAATATTTACTAGCATGTTTGGCTAAGTGTAAAAATGAGAAAAAAAGTTTTTTTTTAGGTAACATTTTGTTTCTAAATTTTCCTGGATAGTTTTCAACAAGCCAATCAAATATGCTTCTTGATTGATAATAAAGTGAACTACCTTTGTGGCATCTACTTGAACTTTTTTCTTAAAAAATTACTATTTTCAAAGTAACTCTTACCTTCGTGTTGAGCAACTTAGTTATTTACAATTTTGATTAATAAAAAGTTTATTTTTTTTACTACTTATTTACTTAAGGTAACACTTTTAAGCTTAGCCAAACATTCTCTAAAGCTAAAGCTCATACGAATAACTTATCACAATCAGAGGAGTCACAGAGAAAAAAGAACATCTTATGATGAGATCAGATGGCATAAAAAGTCACCACGCGGATGGTTTAGGTAATTTTCTTTCATCCAATAACAACCCTTGTTCTCAACAAATTTGGAGTCGCTATATGAATCATTTTCCTTCCGTTCAATCCCTGATGATATATAATCAGTATTGTTTAACATTGTACACATAATGTGAAAGATTTTATTAAATGTGATTTTCTCTATTACAGCACACACTTTTATTTCTTTTTTATAGTGCAGCTCCTAGAATCTTTTCAGGCTCTTATACACAAGGAAATAATAAAAAACACATGAAAAAAATTGACACAATAAAGTCTGTAATATTTGCGTTTACTAACCTCTACGGTAAAGGCTGTCTACTTTCTTTGACAAAGTTGTGTGGTAGGTGTAAGATTCCATCCTTTTGGTCTCAGCATTAAATCCATTTCAAAGAAGTGCATCACAAGTTTCCAAGTTCCCAAAAAAAAGAAAAAAAAAAACAAACTTGTTTGTTTTTCTTCCTAAATAAGTCAAAGTAAATTAATAGGATACATAATTCTTCGAAACACGAAGAAATAATATAATACCCCATTCGATAAATTAATTTAGGAGTTCACTTAGATGGAACTTCTTAAAGATATGCATAATCTCTTCGACAAGTTTCTTATAATCAGTAAGCGAAGTAATGGAGCATTCATTTGCATATTGCCAAACTCTTATTTTCTCGACGGTCTTATGCTGAATAGAATGATAAAACGAGAAATTGCAAGCAATTTTGATCTCGTTTAATCCTCAAATAAACAGAATCTTAGCATACAGCAGATTTATTACAATAAAAAAGAAAATGTAAATGAGGAACATGAACTTCAGGCTCCAGCCACAGCCACTATATTGTTGTCGTAGTCCCAACAAATCCAGCCCTGTAATGCCAAATATCTTGCACCACGAACACTTCATCATTCCAATATTGTTGCATAACCGAGCCTGCAGTAATTCTCGGTGAAGGCATTGCGGTACATCAAATATGGTGTATACTATTCATTTGCAACAAATTTGGTGTAATTCATTGCTATCACTTTGTCCCCCATTTTCTATTACAGCAAATTAATGTTCCTTCTATATCCTTTTTTTTTTAATTCTTTTCGAATAATTGATTTGAATTATCTATAATTGTTTTAATGCGATGGTAACATTTATTTAACATTTTTTTTAATTTATTAATAAATGCAATATTTTAGTTCATTAAATATAATTTTTAATTTAACGATTTTAGTAATAATATAATTTAAAATAAATTGATTGTTGAGAAATCAAGAATAAGGAAATAAAGAAAATAATATTCATTTGATGTAAATATTATACTAAATTGGTGTAAAAGTTATATTAAATTTGGTGTAGCCATTGCAGATGCCTGAGGGGCATAATATGTGCATCCTGTTCAAGTGAAAATGTGTTGACCTAAGTTCCATTTTTAAGGATTTGCCAATCAAATAAACCTAAGTGCACGTGTGTACATTAATCTGAAACTGGTTAATTTCCCATCATACGTTCTTTTATGATCACAGTTTGAAGTAATCATTCATTGAACTATCAAAAGCAAACCAACATGCACATATTAAAGACATCTTCACCTGCAGACATTTTAGCTAAATAGAAAGAATGATTTGATACAGATATTCAATGCTTTAACTCATAGCAATAGGGCTTCCAAGAGTTGTCATCTAAAGATTNNNTTCCAAGAGTTGTCATCTAAAGATTACAAATGCGCTCCTTCTTCGACAAAGCGTGTTCCTGTAGATCCCAAAGTATTTGGGAAGGGAGCATTCTAATTACCGAACATAATAGCTTTGACTGAATTTACAAGGGTATCATCAATTGAGATTGAGATTGATTTTAAAAATCTTTTTATTAGATGTCGTCAATTGAGATCTTAATGGATTTTAATGAAATCCATTAAAATTTAGGCATCCCTAATCGAGATTTTACTAAATTTTAACGAAATCAATTAAAATTTATCTATCCTCAATAACTAATAGATTTATAAAGATTACATTAATAGAAGGATTTTAAGATATTTTGATGGATTTCAAACTTAAAAATACATATAACCATTTTTTTTTTTTTTTAAATTTCACTATGTTTGATGAGATTCTTATTAAATTCGTGGAATTCTATACAAATCCACGAAATTCATTAGGATTTAT